AATTACTATTGAGTATTATTTCAATAGTTATTTATTATACAAGGGAAAAAAGTTGTAGATTTTAGCTCCAGGTTGTGTTGTCTCCCGACACGTAGCGGAGGAAGACAAAAAACCGTGAAGTAAAATCTAATATTTTTCCCGTGTATAATATACTATTTTTTCTGTGGCAGGAAAAAGGACGAATCAATATTGAGAAGATATTACATTATATTAATATCAGAAAATTATCGACGTGAAATTTGAATTTTTTTTTTCATTTTATCATAATACATCATGTTATTGCATCCGATTTGAGAGATAATGTCAATTCTCAATTTCAGACAATTTTCAGATTTCATGCTCTCTTTTCGGATGTTCAACAGATATAATTTAATGTTCGACATGGCAAATAGCCAGGAAAGTAGTTGTTTTCTGTTGAATATTCAGAATGATATTATGTACATATATATTTCTTCATATTCAAATTCTCTACTTCAGAAGATTGTGTTTTCAAATTCTTATCGTGTATGTTCAATAGATATAATTCGATGTTCGTCGTGGCATATAGCCAGGAAAGTAGTTGTTTCCTGTTGAATAGGCCGAGAAAGAATTGATATTTTCATCACATGAAGAATGCGAATATATCCATTTTTTTATGTTCATAATCATATATCTGAGAATATTTCTTTTCAGTGAAATTTGAAATTTTTAACAGGAATAGCACCAGCGTTGCAGGCATCTTTATCATTTTGTTGAAGTAATCAAATATCTGTCAGTCTAATTCTGTGATTTGATTCGAAAAAATTGCGAATTTGATGGTTGTTTAGTAATTTACGTAACCGGGAAGTCGAATGGATGGTAAAAGGACTTTTACAGGGGTTACCTACTTAGTCTTTTTTTTTTTCAAATCGTCTATTTGAAAGATAAAAATCGGTACAGATATGTTCAAAGTAGTCCACAAAAATAATTTGTCATTACTCTTTAGTAGTTCATTCCAAAAATACGCCAGTACGATCCATACACTTCCATGAATTGTGATGATGTGTGATTCAAAATGACATATTGATGAATCAATCAAATATGTATTTCGTTGATTTAGTGTAATTTTGCGTTGATTCAATGAAATATTTCATTGATTCAAGAGAAACTGTATTTCAATTTGACAAATTGTTTTGTTGAACCGAATTCAGTATTGATTCGAGAATTTATTAAAATTTTGCACCAATAGAATAAAAAAACTAGGAAACTGGTCGACAATTTCATACTCAGATTTTAGAAGTGAATACCGTATATCCCGAGCCGTATTCTGTCTATATACTAGGTGAATTCTGATAATTTTGTGAACACATCATTTGTTACAAAATATAATGGATGAACAGTTTATGAACTGACTATATAAAAAAAATCTTAAAAACGCAATAATTGTTGTTTTCGCGTGCCTCTACATTGAATCGCTTTCGAAACGATGGAATTATTGTAATTACCAATTAAAAAATGATAGTTTACATGGAAGTGCACGAAAAAAATTATCAAAGTTATCCTAGAGTATAGTAATTAGGCAACTACGGCGTTGATAAAAATAGTGTAATCGTGCTGCTACGGCTGTTTAGTCACCCAAACTGGTCGTTGTTGTCCCTGTTTTTATTTTCCAAAAAAAATTATGGAAGAAAATGACGAATCCAGCGATGAAAACTGGTGAGTCAGATGCGTATACTTTTGCTTGTATCGGAACAAGGAAAGTTGACAAATATATACTCTCGATATCAACCTAGCAGAGATCGAGATTGACAAATCGGCGTTTTTTCCATCGAATGATGAGTAAAAAATTTGTGGTTATAGTTATAAGTTAGTAATTAAATAGTAATAAATTATGGTACGTATATTTGAAATTCCCAAAAAAATGAATGTGTATACTCAAAGAAATAAATGGGTTGAATCAACCCAAAAGAGCATAATTATAAAATGAGCCTATCTGGTTTACTCATATTTTGTATAGATAGCCATAATATTTGGTTCACCAAGAAAGTGCATAGTAGATATAGGTAAATTGACTATTTTTCAGGTTATTGTACCACTGAATTAATACAGATTTCGAATAAACATCAAGTTTATTCATTACATGGTGGTCAACTTTACAAAATATATACAGTATAATTCTCTTCATTTGTAATTTCTCCTCTCCGTTATTCGAATGTACTCTCCCATTAATCCTTTATGACACTCAATGGACGTTATTTAATTGCTACCACAGTTTATCATCTTCCTGCAAGAAATGTGTAGAATCGAAATATGAATTCAATATTGAATTGATTGAATTCATGAATAATACTCACCATCACATGATTACGATCATCTGATGAACTTTCCTCATCATGATTATTAAATGGGAAGACTACATCAGTGGTACTCCTTGACCAGAGATTTCAAAATGTTCTCAATATTCTTGTATGGTTCTGGTACTTGTCATATACAACCTTCCTGGGGAAATATCCACGTCTTCTGTACTAAATGATTCAAAAATTGAAGAGAGTCCTGAGAAAGATGGAATTTTTCGAAAAAAGTGTGTTTTGACATAACAATGAAACATGAAATTTTCCCAAGTCCTGACCTGGATATTTTTTTTATAATATGTTATCTTGAATAGTTTCAGTAGAGATACGTCGCTGCCAAATTTCAGCAGATTACGATGAATCATTTCTGTAATATCGGCCATCAAAGTTATATAACAATTTCACATAATACGTTGTGGAGTGTCAAAAAATGTTTATATATATATATACATCAACTCGTCTTGATTTCCCCTATTAACCATTTGGCTATGTGAGTCTTCTCATGAAACACCCTGTATAACATTCCACTACCGATTTGGACACGAGTCAATGAGAATTGAGACGGGTGTCTCAGATGAATTATGGACAAACAAAAATGGACATATATTAATATGAAGCAATACATTGAGAATTCGCATTCTCTATGTGATCAGAATATCTACTCTTTTTCAGTTTATTCATAGAAAACAACTACTTTCCTGGCTATATGCCACGACGAACATTGAATTATATCTATTGAACACACACGATGACAGTTTGAAAATAAAATATAAAAAACCTCTGAAATTGAGAATTTGCATTCTCCTTCAGACAAAAATATGTATATGCACACATCATTCTGAATATTCAATATTCAACAGAAAACAACTACTTTCCTGGCTATTTGCCACGTCGAACATTGAATTATATCTGATGAACATTCAAAAGGAGAACATGAAAAATAAAAAATAAAATCCATTGAGAGTTGACATTCTTCTTCAAACCGGATGAATAATATGATGTATAATGATATAGAAATATAACTTACCAATATATTCAATGTTCGTCGTGGCATATAGCCAGGAAAGTAAACTGAAAAAGACTAGATATTCTCATCACATAGAGAATGCGAATTCTCAATGTATTGCTTCATATTAATATACAGTATGATGCAAATGTATGGAATAAATTCATTTCAAAACAAGACGACTTTCGAATAAAAAACAAAACTAGAGTTTAGAACTTTTTTTCGACGTATTTTTTTAACTAGACGACCCTTCGATGTTCAATTCTCAGTAGCAGACCTCTGCAAGATTCAATTAATCACATGATAATCCATTTTAATTTCAATCTTCTTATGCAACATCTTGACTGTTGAATAGACGATCGGTAGACCTTTCAATCAAGGTGTCACATGACCCCTATTTGTATTTGAAAAAATCGTCCATTACGTCTTTACTCCAACACCGGTGACGTAACATCTCTCATATGAATATCATGAGATGAGGCTTCAGAAATTGAAACTCACGTGTTTTTGGAATTTTTTCAAATGTCGCCCATTTCTGAAATAATGAATTTATTCAATACATTTGCATCATACTGTATATCCATTTTTGTATGTCCATAATTTATCTGAGAATATTCCTTTTCAACACTTTCATACCCAATCAGGGGGTTCAAACTTGAACGATGGAAACTTGTGATTTTTTTATAAACCTCTAATCGCAGATTCGTGATAGAGTCTCAATTCAGAATTTCTTTCCACGCCTTGTATGATGAATGTCAATTTATCATACCCCCAAAAACCTATAGTGGAATGTTTAAATGCGGCCTGGTGAGATAGAGTAGGCCCTGGTCGAACGCAGGGTTGTTTTGTTTTAAACATTTTGTTGTAATCAACTGTTTTAAACATGTTTTAAACATGTGCTCAAGTTTTAAACAGTTTTTGTTCAAAACAAAACTCCACATTTGGTGTCATTTAACCGACCTCGTATCTCTCACCGTTAAAAACATACCCATGGTGAGCATGGTAAGTGGGACACACTGTATAGCCCACTGGCAATACGAATTAATAAATGGTCTGTGGTTCCCCCAGGCCAACAGTCCTCATCAGGTTTGTTCGCGTTCGAAAAATAAACAGTCTGAAACCATCAGAAGCATGCGCAGTTCCACGGAACTTGGAAAATGTGTAATGTTCTGCGAAATTGCGCATGCTCCTGATAGTTTCGGACTGTTTATATTCTGAACGCGAACATGCCTATCACAATTGGTTTTCTTATTTCGGGGATTCACCGGCACATCCTCACAGCGATGGCGCGACGTTCATAACACAGCTGATCGCGACAGTTTAGTTCAGTATACAGAGTCTGACTTCAAATAAGGAATCTATTATTTAGTGGACTAATACTAAAGATTATTATATCAAACATTTTGAATTAATCTCTGAATTAATATTATGTTTGAAAAAAATTGATTTGAACAATGTCTTTCTCTAAGTTTTATTTGTTTAAATCATAAAATTCAGAAACAAAAAAAAAACAATGTTTAAAACAAAAAAAAACCGTTTAAAACAAAAAAAACATATAAAATGTATAAAATGTATGTATAAAATTAAAAAATACATGTTTTTTTTCAACCCTGGTCGAACGAGACGTTCCCAAAAAATGAATGAAAAAAAAAACTCAAAATTCCCTCTTTCTCTTTTTTTCGCAGTGGCAACTACCTGGTGCGCGTGCGCGCGCAGGTGATGTCTCGCGACGACAGCTCGGGCGGGTGGGTGCCGCTGGGCGGCGGCGGCCTCAGCAACGTGTCGGTGCGCAAGAGGCCGCGCCCGCCGCAGCCGCCCCCGGGGCAGGGGGGGCAGCCGCCGCCCCCCTGCCCCGCCGCCGCCCCCGACAAGCCGAAGCACGACTATCTCATCTACGGCAAGCGGATCAGCGATAACTCGGTGAGTGGGTGGGAGGGCATTTTTTTAAATACTGATGTCTGTAGGTTATTCGAGGAGGTGGTACATTCATTTTACTTGATTTTTTGGGATTTTCTCCTCGTTTCTACAAAATAAAAATATACGTTTTTTCTGAGACGGGAAAAAATTTTGGCAGGTTATAAAATGTCACTTTTCATAAATAACTCTTTTCCCGTGGGAAAAAAGTGAGTACTTTTTTCCCGGATATATCGCACATATACAGGGTGGCCCACGGTCGATGGTACCTTAGACGTATACGGAAAACGGTACATTGGATTATCCTGAAAATTTGGTTACTCTAATAAGCGTTTGTGATCTAACGATTCAAAATATTTTCAGCGATGCAGCGTTGCCACTTTTACCAAAAAGTAGCATCATCTTTGTTATTTCAAATGGAACACCCTGTATTTCATTGCGTTTTCAGATTATTCTCAAAGAGCTGATTTCATCAATGCATCACACTTGGGGTCTAGCAGGAATTATTACAGAGATATAGGGTGTTCAAAATCGAGATTTTTCAATTTCAGGAATTTTTTGTGTCGAAACTATTCATTATCGATCAAAACGGCTTACATGTCCCTATCTTAACTTCTGATTCACTATCTACTGACATTCAATTGGAACAGATACAGGGTGATCAAAATTCTGAATCTTGGACCATCCTGTATTTTTTCCAATTAAATGTCGGTAGATAGTTAATCAAAAGTTAATTTAGGGACATGCAAGTCGTTTTGACCAATGATGAATAGTTTCGACACAAAAAAATCCTAAAGTTGAAAAATCTCGATTTTGAACACCCTATATCTCTGTAATAATTCCTGCTAGACCCCAAGTGTGATACATTGATGAAATCAGCAAACGCAATAAAATACAGGGTGTTCCATTTGAAATAACAAAGATGATGCTACTTTTTGGTAAAAGTGGCAACGCTGCTTCGCTGAAAGTATTTTGAATCGTTAGATCACGAACGCTTATTAGAGTAACCAATTAGGATAATCCAGTGTACCTTTTTTGGTATACGTCTAAGGTACCATCGACCGTGGGCCACCCTGTATATATATATATATATACACTGTTGATGGCTTTTGTTGTGCTATAGTTCCGAAAAATGAGTCAATAATACCGTCTCTGAGAAATAATGAATAGTTTCGACAAAAAAAAATCCTAAAGTTGAAAAATGTCGATTTTTCACACCCTATATCTCTGTAATCATTTCCGCTAGACCCCAAGTGTGATACATCGATGAAATCAGCTCTTCAGAGAGAATCTGAAAATGCGATAAAATACAGGGTGTTCCATTTAAAATAACAAAGTTGTTGCTACTTTTCGATAGAAGCGGCAACGCCGCAGAGCTGAAAATATTTTAGATCGATAGATCAAGAGCAATTACTTGAGTAACCAAATTTTCAGAATGATCTTATGTCCCGTTCTCCGTAAACGTCTAAGGTGCCATCGACCGTGACCCACCCTGTATAAAGAATTGGGGGTTTTCAAGAATGGATCAGTATAGGTTACAGAGATGTGCGAGCGTTTTTTTCATTATTTCCGCTCACGAGCGCAAATGCTGTCAAAGAAAGACATTTCTAGGAAAACGTCAACTTTGTGCTGGAATTTAAAAGCGTCAAAGGCTACTTTGTTAAGCATTTGTAGAAAAACAATATTCTAGAGTTGAAGTCTTCTTTAAACCTTTGAATACCTGTACCTTCGTTATCTTGAATATTTTATGTGAAATTTTTTTGTCAAACAACTTGTTTTCATGAGATATAAATACTGTTTGAAAATGAACCTCACTTTCAGATTCACCCTGTATACTTTTTCTGGTTCCTTTCATTTAATGTTATCCTTTATTATTCTATATCATTTGATGTATAAATGCGCTTTTAATCTGTTCGAGTAGGTGGTAGACTAATGATACTAATAATAATAATGGTGATTTAATAATAAATGATGTTATACAAAAAAGTCAGAACAGAAAATAATCACACTATCAAATACCTCTAATGAAAAATGAAAGCAAATGATTGTATTTGAAATACCCTGATGGTGTACAAGAAAACTATGCCGCCACTTAGCCTTACATCGTAATAAATAAACCAACGAACACGCTCAACACAAAGCTTCTTAGGCCAGCATGCTCTTGATCCATTCCTCGAACTTGCGAAGGCCCACCTGATTGGCCTCCTCGTAGTACGGCAGCGCCTGCACGCGAGTCAGCCATTCGGCAATCTTCGGGAACCGATTGTCGGCGATCGGCACCAGCGGTTTCGCCGACGTGAGGGTGGCGACGATGCTCAGATCGGCCAAGGTGAGAGTGTCACCTGCCACGTATGTGGAGCGTTCCAGAAGGGTTTCCAGGGATTTGTAAGCTGGAAAGAATGGAGAAAAAGTTCAGAAAAGACATAACTCTATCGTAGTCCTGGAAAAACTTTCTTTTTCCCACTTTCTTTAGCCAATATCACGTTTTTAGGAACTCAACATACAGTGTGTCCGAAATTCGATGTCATCTTCCTAAAATACTCAATAGTACTAAAGACCGATAATTTTTTTTAGTTCAATAATTGACCAAACAAAGAATTTTTTTTTGGTATTGTTTTCTGTTGAATAAACCGAGAAATAATTGGTATTTTTATCACATAGAGAATGCGAATTCTCAATGTATTTCTTTATACAGCGTGTCTCACTTTAAACGCCCCCCCCCCCCCTCTATATCTCAGTTATTAGTCATGCGATTCCAACCTAATTTGGTGTGGTATGGTTTTGGACAACTAAAAAGGGTTGATTTTCCATAAAATCATATGAGACATTTTTTTTACAGGAAATCTATCCTCATATTATTGTTCCTCATGCTTTCGAACCCCCTTGCAGAAAATCACCTAATTCCGAATTAACAGGATTGGCTTCATTTTTTTCATTTTCAGTCTCGAATAAATAGTGACTTCAAATCAACTACGAATTCTGGAACGTTCAATGGCTCCGGTAGGTGGAAAATCATGATTTGGAAGGAAAAACGAGTTATACTTTTTTATGTTGAACTCACCGTTTCCGAGTAAATAATTATTACGTTAGCAAAAATGCTGTTTAGATGTGCCTGTTTTTCTGAAACCCTTCATAGGCATCTTATGAAAATCCACATATATGTGGGTTTGAAACCATGAAGAACAATATTATGAGGTCAGTTTTCCTGTGAAAAAAATAGTAATTCTGAAAAAATCTTTTTTCTCCCACTTTTTTTATCCAATATCAAGTATTTAAGAAATCAACATACTTTGAACGGCCCCCCCTCCATATCTCAGTTATTACTCATTCGATTCCAACCAAATTTGGTGTGGTATGAATAACCATCAATATGATCAGTTTTACAGAGATGAACATTATTTTGTACAATGCCATGCGTTTTTATTGAAATAAAAAGAGGTCGATTTTTCATAAAATCATAAGCATTTTTTTACAAGAAATCTAACCTCATATTATTGTTCTTCATGGTTTGAAACGCCCATATGTAAATTTTCACCTACTTTCTGTAGAGGGTTTTGAAAAAACGGGCACATCGGAACTGCATTGTATTCTATAATCGGTTAGGGATTATTATGACGAATTCAACGATACCGGGTTTGATAGGGTTATTTCAAAGGATTACAAAGATATTTGCGTTAGAAGTTTCCATATGCTGAATGGGTGTGACTTCGCAATATCAAAACTTCTTTCTCTGTCACACTCATTGAGCATATTATGGAAACTTAGCGTAATCTATCTGCGTAATCGTTTGAAATTACCCTATCAAACCCGATATCGATCAATTCGTTATGACAATCCCTAACCGATTATGGAATGCAATACAGGATGTCCAATTTGAAAATCAAAAGTTGGGATTGTTTCCAGTAAAACCGGAAGTGATAAAACAAAAATTGTTTCGTCAATTAATGAGCAATCTGAAGGTAGGTCCTTGAATGCAGTTTTCTTCAAATATATTTGTTACCATTGATTCTAGAATCACGAAATCTGTTACTTGAGTGTTATTTGTCAATTTGATCTGACAAATCGTTTCGTGGTACGGAAAACATGATTTGATATACAGGGTGGTGCGAAACTCGTAACCGACGTCTCAAATTTTTTCTGTTTCACGATTTATTTCATTTTATATCAGAATCTTCAAACACTTTTACAGGAGAAAACCGTAAGCACGAACCGTTTTCGAGAAGAGTGTCATTTTCTACTTTGATGTCCGAATTGAAAATTGAATTGAATTGAACAAATCAAAATCACGTTCAACTCTAATAAAAAAAACTACCTGAAAATGCACAATTTCAATTATCAAGCTCAACATAATAACAAACGCCCAAAATAATTGTAGTTAGGACATCGAAATGAAAAATTACCCTTTTTCGAAAACGATTCGTAAAAGTGTTTAAAGAATCATATACTGCTATACTGAAAATAAAATAAATCGTATAAACAGTTAGTGAGATTTTACTACCCTAGAGTACAAAATTTCGTGATTCTAGGATCAGTGGGAACAAAAATATTTGAAGAAAACTACATTTTTTTTTATTGGTACCCTACTATCGATCTGACAAGAGACTTCAAATAAAATATCACTAACAAATGTTCAACCATTTCACATTATTAGTTGTTATTTCAATATACAGAGTGACCCATTTGAAAGCGGGTCATCATGAATTTTCTATTTATAGAGCGATTTTCTCGATTTTTTTTTCAGAAATGTAGAAGGAGGAAAGTTGTATTTTGAAGCTAAGCGGCTTCCCATTTTTTAAAAAACAACTACTACATCACATTCAGGGGCTGAAAAATTCAGAATCCATATTAGCGATTTTTTTAGGAAAAACCGCGTATGCCACTGGAATTTGCGTCCTCTGATATAACAAGTTCAATGGAAGAATATTCAACACGATTCTACAGCGTGTCTCATTTCAGAAAAATTTCCATTAAATGGTGATTCAAAAGAAGAAGCAAGAAATACTATTTCATGTTGAACTCACCGTTTCCGAGTGAATAATTATTTCGTTCACTAAAATGTTTTTCGGATCTTTCTTGAAACCCTCCATAGGAATCATATAAAAATTTACAAAGGGGGGTTCGAAAACGCGAAGAACAATATTATGAGGTTATTTTTCCTGTAAAAAAAATCCTAATATTGTTTCATAAAAAATTTACCCCTTTTTATTTTAATGAAAACGCACAGAACTGTTCAAAAGAATGTTCGTCTTTGACAAACTGATCATATTGATGGTTATTCATACAAGTCCAATTTGGTACGAATCGCACGACTAATAGCTGAAATATAGAGGGAGGGGGGGCAGTTTGAAATGACACACGCTTTAGAATCGTTAATGTTGGATTGTTTTTCATGAAACTTGATACAGATCGATCTCAAAGGACGCCGATTCCAGTGGCGTGAGCGGTTTTTCCTAAAAAAATTGCTAATATGGATTCTGGATTTTTTAGCCTCTGAATGTGGTCTAGTTGGCCTTGGCTTTTGAAAAAAATTGGACACCGCTCAGCTTCAAGATATTTCAAAAACAAATTCGTGAAAATCGCTCCATAAATAATAAAAATTATGAGGGTGGCGTGCTTTCAAATGGGTCACTCTGTAAATAATCTCGAAATATTTTTTTTTCTTGGAAAATCCGATCACAAACAATGTTGAACATAATTAATTCCTCTAGCACATAACTATTACATTTTTGATGGGCTTTCAAAATTTTTCGATTCAAATGAACAAAAAAATAATGTGATTAAAAATGTCAAAGATGCTTTTCTTAAAAATGTTTTTCATTATTGAAGGTTATGAGGTTTACTTCGAGTAGCGATTTTTTTGTAGCTTCACGGTCAATAGCTGACGAGCCCACGAAAATAAAAAAGACCACCTGTTGATGAATTGCTGTTTGAAAATAATAACAATCAAGTGGCCAAGACCTTGAAAGTAGCACAATGTTACAATGACTGGCCACTTTCATTAATGACTAACAAACACGCTGAAATATACATGCCTACATAACTAATTTCATTATGTAATAATTTGAATAAAATATAAGCAGCTGACCCAAATGGAACAATCACTGAAATTCCGTCGATGAATTTGGATTCAGAGCTTTTTGAATTGAATTAAAATTTAGTTAGATGGAAATTAATATTAAATTGCCCTTAGGATTGAATTGTGATTGAATGAATTCCCCTGTAAAATATTCATTAATGGGGAAGACCACTGAGGGAAGAAATCCGTGCAAACCTCTTTCAATCGACGAATCATGATTTACATTTTATGTACAATCAATATTATGAGTTGAAGTTGAAGGAAATCGAATCTATATCGTTTTGAAATCAGCATATTTCATTCGATATTTCAAACAGCCAAATATGATGGTGGAGTCGTGACGTAAGAGTCCCGAACTGTAGCTATCTCTCTCTGATACCTCGTCATTCTGCAGTGTTGCAGTGTAATTGGTCAGTTCAAGGACAATAGGCGTGTTGGGACTAAGACGTCGCACCAGTCACACCAATGAATTGATGAAATTTCAAATGGCGCAGGAATTGTGTGCTTTGAAATGGACATATACTAATTTATTTTTTTCATCGTCTTAGCATGAATGAAAAAATTCAAAATTAATTCACTGGTAGTTTTTCAGTATAGAGTTCACGATAATGTCGTTTTAAAAAATCAGTGGTCTTCTAACCCAAACAATTTTGTAATCTTCAGGACAATGGTCGAGAACATCATTTGAAAAAAACAAGGACATACTTATATAATGTCGATTGTTGATGAATGGTTGAAATTGTTGTTTTTATCTGTTTTGGTTAATCATACCTCATTTTGTATTTATTGGTTGTATTCCAGGATTGACAACAAATTGTGAAGTCCAGAAGATATTCTTTGACGATTTCTTGTTACCTATCAATTTTATTTCGTGTCGTAATCATCCTAAAAAATCGACCTACGTATCTATTCTCTTTGTCTGTAAAACAAGTGCAAGAATATTTCTGATGAGTCTTTTAAATCAAAATATGAAAAAACTTCGCCTCCTCAGAAGGTGCTCTCCCTAGACTCAAGTGAATTTTCTGGACTGAAGACTCGAGATAATGCGAGGAATATCTTTGAATATTCGCAACTTGACTAGATGGAAAGAGGATTTGAAGATGACGGTGAGGTTAGGAAGTTAGGTTGACAATGTAGTTCGTCTTCTTCTTCTCTTCTTGTATTTCTGGGAAGTATTTCTGAGAACTCTAGGCATTACACTGTTGCCAGTGCCACAAAATAAGTTGGTTTCAAATAAAATCACGATCATTATTCATTATAAGGAATACTAGAATATTTTCATCGCTGAAGCATCTTGCAAGTATATAAGTATTCAATAAGTGATTATTAGGGACCAGGTCGAAATATTGTCACCTTCATCGTCAAATATTTAGTCAAGATGCGAATATTCGAAGATAATCCTCATGTAGATTCTGATTCTTCAGTTGTGTGTTGTGTTCTCTGTTATCTGCAATCCAGAAAATGCATTCCATATTCTGATTGCAATGACAATGTTTGAAGGAAAGAAATATGAATATATATATTGAGAAAATATCGAATTTTTACTTATCTTTGGACGTTTCGAATCTGCTCCCGTTCTCAACATGAAAATGCAAAATATTTGTCTTTGGAAGTTATGCTCTGTTTATAGTTTGACACTTTTCAGTGTCATACTGATGTTGGCGTGGTTGGTATATGAATGGGTGATTTTAGTCTACAAATGTGTTACAGGATGATTTCATTAATTAATCTTGAATCTACCATTTTCATGTTCAGTTTTCAGTAGTGAATACCATGTTCTATCCATATCAACTGAACAGGAAGCAATGCTATTGTCTCCGTTCAGAAGAATGCGAGCGGATTCCTTGATTTTTCTTTTTTGGTTGTTATCTTCCTTTCCTATGATTTTGATATTATTCCACTCTGCCATATGTTGTCCATCTTCAGTAAGGATATGTTCAGTTAGCTTCGATTTATCGAAATGTCTTTTCTATATATTGTACTTGTGTTCTTTAGTTCTTACTGAAAGAGGTCTCTTCGTTTCACCTGTATCATAGTTTCCACAAATACAAGGTATGCTATAAATACAATTTTTTGATGATTGTTCTACATTTTTTAGCTTTGTTTGAGTTAGAATGGATCTCATTTTATTTTCAGTTTTGAACACAGTTTTCACTTGGAATTTATCACCAACACGTTTTATTTTTTCAGATATGCCGGGAATGTACGGTATTATATTCGTCGTTGAGAAAAATCAAGGAATCCGCTTGCATTCTTCTGAACGGAGACATTTGTAGACTAAAATCACTCATTCATATGCCTACATCAGTATGACACTGAAAAGTGTCAAACTATAAGCAGCACAACTTTCAAAGAGAAATATTTTGCATTCACATGTTGAGAACGGGAGCAGATTCGGTCCCGAAACGTCCAAAGATAAGTAAAAATTCGATATTTACTCAATATATATATCTATATTTCTTTCCTTCGAACATTTTTTCAAACAAAGTGTCACTGACAAGCTACTGGATTTTTCTTTTAGGCTCCCTGATAAAAAAAATTGTTAAACGCAGTGACATTTTGGGGCAAATCGTCTGATTTGTCCCACTACAAATATATTGAAATAATACGCATATTTTTATTTTATAGGAACGAGGAGAGCAAATCCCAAAAAAAAAACAAGTAAAATGAATGTTCGATAATCATCTAAAAAAGTTATTGAGCTCTGAAGTTAGTACTTCAAAATAAAGAAATACAATTTTTCACTGAAACAGACCCATTTCAGAAAGCATCAATTTTATTTCAATGATATATTTTGAAATACAAATAACACTTTCTGTAATTCAATTGATTATTCTGAAATACAATTGATGCGTGCTGAAATAGAAGTGACTTTTATGAAAAACAATTGATGCTTTCTGAGATTCAACTGGCTATTCTGAAATACAATTGATACTTTCTGAAATACAAGTGACTATTCTGAAATACAATTGTCTCGTACTGCAATACAAGTGACTTTTCTGAAAAACAATTGATGCTTTCTGAGATTCAATTGGCTATTCTGAAATACAATTGATACTTTCTGAAATACAAGTGACTATACTGAAATACAAATGACTCGTACTGCAATACAAGTGACTTTTCTGAAAAACAATTGAGGCTTTCTGAGATTCAATTGGCTATTCTGAAATACAATTGATACTTTCTGAAATACAAGTGACTATTCTGAAATACAATTGACGCTTTCTGAAAATGAATTGACTATACTCTGAAATAAAATTGAAATTCAACTGACCATTCTGAAATACAACTGGAAAAGGTGTAGAAAAACTTCGAGCTCCCGAAAATTTTAAAAATTCAATTACACTCTGTATACTGACCTTCGGTGAGGTTGGCGGCCTTGTCCTTGGCGATACTTTTGGCGCCCTCTCTGAGCAGAGAAACGACAATGGCGCCCATGGCTGGGAAAAGGATTCCACAGTTGTAGAACAACCTTTGGTTGATGACGGCCCTCTTCTGGGGACAATTGGGATACAGGGGGGAGTTGTTGCCGTATTTTTCGCCCTGAAATCGTGATTTCAAGATTCAATTATACGGGGTGTTGATTGATTGAGTGCCGATTATACAGGGTTTGCATCCTCGGTTGATTTAAAGGGGAAAATTTCATATCAACATATATCCTAAATCTCTAATTTTTTGAGCTACAGCTTTTTTATCACTGAAATAATTTTATGAAATTTTGTACACATCTCATCATCATCAAGGAGCGTTTTTTGACCCAAAAGAGTGCTTAAAATTTTCACTAGTGGCGTCCGTACGGGGTTTAAACTGAAAAATGTGGAGAAAAAATGGTACGCCACTGATTTTCCTAAAAACCAAAAGTATTTTCGAAGTTTCTTTTACTTTGGAGCAAATTCGGTTCCCAGACTTACTTTCATACGACGAACCATTTTCGCTTAAAAAATAAAAACCAAATAAGGTTTTTTCTTGTATTTTGTTAAAATTTTTACCATTTTCAGTGATGTCCAAGTAGGCTTGATATTGAATGTTTTGATTATTAAAATCAACCGAGGATTCACACCTTAGACATAAGTACTTTTTGTTGAAGAAATAAATAAAATTGTTCATTGGTTAACTATTCGATAATTTCACAATTCAGGGTTGGCACGAATTTATTCATGTGAATTAAGTCAGTGATTCTGTGATTCAATTCGTAAAAGTCATGGATCAATTCAAACTTTTTTCAATGGGAAGAAATCGCCTCATATTTGAACTATTTAGTTTATTTCATACTGAAAAATCCGGAAAAATCCAATGGCATTATTATGCAACCTGACCATCACAAAAATCTTATCGCCCTGCATAAAACTAACTTTTCTAAGAGCCGCTTTACAGTTTTGAATTTTTTCATTGCCATTATATAGAAAGTATGGGTTTTGAAGAACTATACAGGATATGTCACAATGAGCTTACACTCATCAAAAATTATTGTTAAAATCTAATTGAATAAACTTACTTACTTACTTTTTTACTTACTATCTCTATATCGTGAATCAGTCGGGAGAAATCCATGAAAATATGCATGCTCATAATTTAGAATACGCTCCCTTGATTTAAAATATTTTCAGCAATGCAGTGTTGCCGCATCTATCAAAAAGTAGCAACAACTTTGTTATTTCGAATAGAATACCATGTATTTTATTGCATTGTTAGATTCTCCGTGAAGAGCTGATTTCATCAATACATCATACTTGGGGTCTATCGGAAATAATTACAGAGATATAGGATGTTCAAAATCGAGATTTTTCAACTTTAGGACTTGTTTGTGTCGAAACTATTCATTATCGGCCAAAACGGCTCACATGTCCCTATCTCAACTTGTGATTTACTATTTACTGATATTCAATCGGAACAGATACAGGGTGATCAGAATTCTGAATCTTGAACCACCCTGTATCTGTTCCGATTAAATATCAGTAAATAGTGAATCAAGAGTTGAGATTGGGACATGTAAGCCGTTTTGACCGATAATGAATAGTTTCGACACAAAAAAATCCTAAAGTTGAAAAATCTCGATTATGAACACCCTATATCTCTGTAATCTTTTTCGATAGACCTCAAGTGTGATACATCGATAAAATCAGCTCTTCAGGGAGAATCTAAAAGTGCGATAAAATACAGGGTGTTCCATTTGAAATATCAATGTTGCTACTACTTTCTAGTAGACGCGGCAACACTGCATTGTCGAGAATATTTCAAATGAAGAGAGCGTATTCTGAAATATAAGCATTACCGAATTAGTGCAATCTGTTTTAGTTATCATCTATTTCCGAACCTTGAAAACATTCCATTATAATTTAAAATGGGTATGAAGTCATTCCAGGAATTATTTTTATCTTTACGACTATACAATGTGTTTAGATTTTATAAAACTGTAATCACTCATAATGAATATACACCATAAAAATATAGGGCGAAAATAAATGTTTGTTGTTAGATCAAAAACCTCTTTTAACTCTGAAACAATGACGATAGATATCGATTTTCGGATTTCACTATCGAATTGGTCATTAAAACTCTTCAAGTGTCTAATTTGTTCTACTGTCTGTGTACATAAAATTTGATGAAAGTTTTCTAAAAAAATGCCTACTACAATTTCTTAATTTTTCATCACAGGAGGCCATGATTAATGATTAATCAAAACCAATTCATAGGTCTTTTCGAGGGTCTTTTTTAGTAGTACATTTCGAAAAAATAATATTTGAATCGTTCATTTTAGCCTAAAATTCGAGGGTGGTTTCACTCGAAATGGGACACACTGTATATGGATGACATAATGATGCATTTATCAAAATATATAATTTTATCTCGTTATTGCTTCAAGACTTTCTTGTTTTCTTAGAGTGTTTTCAATAGTGGTTTCGAAACACGTTATCTTTATTACATTTTTATAGATAGGTACGAACATGACATTTTGTGTTATCTGATATCTTGATCTTGCTCTTCAGTTCTGTGTTTGTCAATTGAATATTCTGTCCTAGATTCTTGTCTCACTTTGATAAACCATTGTCGAATAAAATAACCGCATGCATTGAGCATATTATGGCGCATATTATGGCATCATTTTTTTTATCGCTTGGAGCGCACGAAAGGAAATCCCTATAATGTTCAATCATGAAATTAATTGATGAAATTCATAGGGCAAAGTTTTATTTAGTACTATAGCTGTCCGGCCCGGCTTCACACGGTGGTTGGTGTACCCATTAAAAAAATAGTAGTTTGTTTTATTAGGAGCAAGCAGCAAGAGTGACACTTTGTTTGACAAGCGAATTTTGCATTTGCGAGGCCATTTCTAGCGAGGAAGAGTATCAGATATGCATCAAATTGAATTTGGCCAGTAAGCTTGCAAACCAATAGGAATATCACAAACTTTTAGGAGGGCTGACGTTAGGTTTTGAATGAGGGAATAGGAAACATCATTGGGTGAGAGAAAGTGCACTTATTATGTGATGTTTTTTTTTTCGAAACTTTTATTTGGTTCTTACATATTTTCGTCTGAAAAACACGGATTTCACAATAAAAATGTGAACAAACTGCTATTTATCCAGATATTTTACGAAAAAGTTCGAAATTTCACCATGTTTTGCCCCCCCATCATATTGGATATTCATTTACAACTACTTGGCCTTCTTTTTTTATCACTGGACAATTCATATACTCACACGTTGTACTTCAATAACACATTGTATTTCCTATAATCAACAAGAAGTATGGTTTATTTGGTTTTTTCATATTTTAGTTAGGTAAACAATCACACCAACACGGCAATTCTTGTCAAATAAAAGTAAAATGTCAAAAAACTTTGCGAAAAACAAACTATATTGTTCATCTCATTTGCATATGGAAAAATTCCAAATAAATCATACTTACTTCTTGTTGATTTTGGGAAATAAAATGTGTCATTGAAGTACAACGTGAGTATATAAAGTGTCCAGTGATGGACAGAGAAGGTCGAGTAAGTTGTAAATGAATATCCAAAATGGGTGGCAAAAGAAGGTGAAATGTCAAACTGTTTCGTAAAATATCTCGATAAATAGCAGTTTGTTCACATTTTCATTGTGAAATTCATGTTTTTCAGACCAAATTACAGAAGTACCAAAACAATTTTCCGAAAAAAAAAAACCATCGCATGACAAGTGCACTTTTACCTATCATTGTTCAGTGGCGAACTTCGAAAAAGTTCTATCAAGTTTTTGCTCAACACTAACATCCTGTGTGTCAATCAAAATGGTATGGAATATTTTTCATTTTTATTTATTTTAGTGTGCCTACAAAATATCAGAAGGATATTCATAGACAATATTGAAATCTTGATTGAAATATACAAAAAGAAAATCAATTCCGACGCCCTGTAGCGGCTAAACGGAGCGTTTTGGTATAGAGACAATTTCGATTCAATCATCTCACTTTGGTCTCAGGAGTCTGTGACAGACCTTTCAGGAGTTTCAGGGACACCCTGTATACATACGCAGCGGTGTCGGTAATAGAAGAGCACATGATACATTTTCTCAATGTAATACCGAGAAAAAAACCTGAATTATAAAGTGGTTCACAATTCACATATTTTTGATTATAACGAGGGTAAAACTGTACTTATCATGTGATATGTGATGGGTTTTTTTTTTTTCGAAATTTTTTTTGGTACTTACGTATTTTTGTCTGAAAAACACGAATTTGATAATGAAAATGTGAACGAACCATTATTTAATTAGATATTTCACTATAAAGTTACAAATTTCACCTTCTTTTCCGCCTGTCTTTTGGATCGCATTTAGAACAATCTGCCCTTCTTTTTTCATCATTGGACAATTTATATATATCACAATGTAAGACACATTGTTTTCTATCATTGAGTCAACTAGAAATATGATTTTCTTGTGATTTATCCATATTTATTGAAAAGAAGGAAGAATATCATTTGAAATAATGGCGTGTGTAATGTCATTCCAAAGCAATCTATTGACATTTGACATCTCGTATTTGGATTGCCTATGGATAAAATGGCCGTCATCTGGTATGCTTGCTCACTAAATAGGAAAAACTCACCATAAAAATCATATTTTCTGTTGAATTTTCTGTATAAAAATGTGTCATGAAGTACATCATGAGTATATAAAGTGTCCAATGACAAAATAAGAAGAGCAAGTACCTGAAAATGCATCCAACGCAAGGGGAAAGAGGAGTCGAAATTTCGAACTTTTTTTTTGAAATATCTCGATAAATAGTGGTTTGTTCACATTTTCATTATCAAATTCGTGTTTTTCAGACAAAAATACGTAAGTATCAAAAAAAATTTTCGAAAAAAAACCATCGCATGCTAAATGCAGTTTTACCAAAAACTCGACATAAAAATCATACTTTGTGTTGAATTTTCTATATAAAAATGTGTCATTGAAATACATCATGGGTATAAAAAGTGTCCAATGACAAAATAAGAAGAGCAAGTATAGCTGTAAATGCATCCAACACAGGGGGAAAAATAAGGCGAAATTTCGAATGTTCTCTTGAAATATCTCGATAAATAGCGGTTTATTCACATTTTCGTGCTTTTTAGACAAAAATATGTGAGTACCAAAAAAAAAGTTCCGAAAAAAAAACATCGCATGATAAATTCAGTTTTACCAAAAAAAAAAGATAACAATAGAAATCCGGTTTCGAAGCCTCACCAGATAAATATTGATCGCCTGGCTGTCCCAAATGATGAAATCGCCATCCTTCAAGGTCGGCACCGAATGGAACGGGTTCATCGCCAGAAATTCAGGCGAATATTGTTCCCCAGCATTCAAGTCCACCGGCTTGAATTCCACCTCCAAACCGAGGGCCTTGATCAGCAGCAAAGTACCCCTCACTGCGGGACTCTTGTCGGCATAGTACAACGTCAGACCCATCTCTATTTATTTTTTCCTTATTTGTTTGTAGCTTGTAGCAGGAAAGAACGCGATTCGGAATGAATCTAGCAGGCGCGTTATCGTCGAAACAAGAGAACTGAGTGAAGCGGTCGAGGGGACCGGTTTTATACCTTAGGCACGTCACAGCACGTACTAGCGGCTACAGACAGCGGGAAAATAATAATCATCGCGGTGGGGGAACGCTGCAGCGCAGGACCGCGGGTACTGATTACTCCAAAAGAGATGTTTGGAAGAAGATGGTGTTCTTACTCAAGGCTGGTTCCTCGTTCCTCATTTATCTTCAATAGGAGGAGATATGGACCACTGTTACCTTACAACATACACCTATTTGTTGTAAACTTTGAAACTACAATACTGAATTTGAAGAATGTATTTCGGAATTTGAGTGAACAAGAATTAAAAACCGACCATATGACAAATGAATTACTGAAATAAAATGCCTAACATTCTCCATCAGATACTTCTTAATATTGAGTAGATTCAAGTTCATTATTTTTCTTTCAAGACCATGACCAAGACTCTTGGGAGAGAGCCTTGGTCTCGAAAGTCAAGTCATGGTCTTGGGAAGTTTCATCAAGTCTTGGTCTTGGTTTTGTATCAAGACTGGTTTTGTACCAAGACTGGACTCTTGGTCTCGCGAAGCCCTATAGTTGCCATGTTTGCATTGGTCAAAAACTGACGACACAGGTGCTTATAATTAGGTGATGAATCAATATAGCACACACGAAAAAAAAAGTTTTGTCAAACAAAAACAAACAAAAAGTTAACATCGAATAGTTATTATTGTACCATGAGCCCAAATATCCACACATCAGCATATAAATACGGTCAACGTCAGATTCAATTTTCTTTTAGGTTTAGAAGGGCGTTCGTAGGAATTCCTCAGTTGAATAAAAGCAGTGCTTCAAAATGAATTTCCTCAGGAGATTTTTAAAGTGAGGGTAGTCAGTATTGGTCAATTTGGTTGGAAGTACATTGTAGAGCTTCATATTTATGGATTTTTTTGTGATTTCTGTAAGGTTCTTGTTCATAGAAAATCCGTAAGAGGCGCTGATGTCATATTTTTGATGGCCATCGGACCAAATAACAATAAACACGACCAAAAAATACAGAAATGGTGTAATTTACGTTCATTTTTGACAGTGTTTTATAAAGTTCTGATAATTATTCTGCGTTTTTCGACTGTTTATTGTCGTCAACTTTAGGCAAAACAAAAGCCCATCAGTGCCTCAACGGAAATGCCTCCAACACAGTACTTTTTTCAGGAAGGAAGGAAAATATCCCTTCTGCATAAGAAAGAAGACTACTTTTTTTTTGAACAAACTAACCTTACTCGGCCTTCTTCCTAAAAAGAATAATTCTCGGAAAATCACTTGAGAAAACAGAATGAAAAATTGTTAAATACGTTCATTTTTGGCAGTGTTTAATAAAATTCTGATAATTATACTGCGATTTTCGACTGTTTATTATCGTCAAATTTGGGCAAAACTAATTATAAACATCTCAACGCCAACGAATATCCTTGACTGGCGCAGAATCAAGTCAACAAAAAAGTTTCGGCAGAGAGCTTCGCTCTGAAAAAAAAAACATCATTGAAAGAGCGAATCCCTAACGGCCTCAACAGAAATGCCTCCAACACAGTACTCTTTTCAGGGAGGAAGGAAAACATCCCTTCTGCTTCTGCATAAGAGAGAACACTACTTTTTTTTTTAAACAAACTAACCTTACTAGGCCTAAATGAACCTTCTTCCTAAAAAGAAGAATTCTCGGAAAATCACTTGAGAAAGCAGAATAAAGAAAAACGTCCGTGGAAAGCATTAAACCCGGGTGTATACGCCACGCACATATACACTCGTATACAGTGAGGTGCAAAAGAAATGACGATGTTGTATTCAGGGGCGTCCGCAGAAATAATCTCAGAGAGAGGCAAGTCACAATAAATAATGTACAATATTCACTACATATCAAAAAAACAGTTTTTGCACGACCTATAAGCGATTTTACACCAACAAAAGCGGGAATACAGGGTATACAGAGTAGGCACTCTCTAGGCTAAACATATTTCCGGGATTTTTCTGGCAATAAATCTACCACTATGTTTGCAGCAGCTTCTTCAATGGTTTTTCCACACATTCCTGCAATATTTATTGAGAAAACTTCGGAAAGCAATCAAGAAAATATGCTACCACACTTTTTCGATGTTCACAAAAAGCAATATGGCTACTCTTCTTTATCGGTAGTCATGATAATCGAATAACTTGATTTTGTGATTATCGTGTTCAGATTTTCATTTTCATATTGACAATAAGTGATTTTATCATAAGATTCTTTCAATTAAAATCGTCGAATCGTGCAAAAAATGGTACCTATATAAACCTCGGAAGTGAGTTCTTTCTTCCCTCAGTGCATTGTAGCACCCTCTGGCTACAAAACCACCTCTGGAAAAATCATGCACTTTACTCTCTCGATATATAATCTACCATTATTCTACATAAAAAATGGAATAAAAAAATAGTAGATTGTTTTATTAGGATCAAAAGTGACACTTTGTTTGACAAGCGAATTTTGCATTTGCGAGGCGGAGCGTTTAGCGAAGCCGAGCGAAAGCAAAATTTGCGAGTCAAACAAAGTCACTTTTGATCCGAATGGAACATGCTATTTTTTCTGCAACCGAAACAATTAACTCAAATAAACATGTGAAGTAACCACCAATGCCGTGCCATATGTATGCACTGCAACAAATATTGACAAATAATCCATGTGGTGAGAATATTTTACCTGCATTAATAGCAGGTTAGGTTCACTAGGATGTTCGAATTGTAGTTTCAATATAAATACAACCACAGAGTGACATATTTGTGTATGGACCAGGTGCTCTAATGGCAAATACCGCGCCAGTGCCAGGAACAAGACGTGGAAAATGTTAGGTTAGTGAGCATATCAACAATGATGATAGTGATTATTTATTCCTCCCCATACTGGCATACTACACTGTGTTTGACTTGATAATCAAATGAAGCTAAACAATATCGTTGTTTGAGACAAAAAAACTATTGCTTGCCGTGATTATTCAAAAACAAGTTATCCATCCAGAGAATAACGAATGAAATACAGATCAAGCAAGTATTTGAATCTTGAAGGCTTCCCTGATCAAACAAAAATACTTAGCTGAGATGTTTATAATTCCAATACTAAACTATAATAAGGTGTATTTATATCTCCAGCATGGGTATGAAATGTCAAATCCGCTGAAATCGGAAACAAATCAGGTATGCGTCTCAACCAAAATAACCAACCGTCACAATGTTGTTTATTCTTGATGACTTCCAGTACATCCTTTTTAGTTCCTAGGAGCTAAAGTTCAACTTTAGCTCCTAGGAACTAAAATTCAACTTTAGCTCCTAGGAACTAAATATGTTGCCTAGCAACATACCTATTTTTGTGTCAGTAATAGAAACGTCAATTTAAGAGCTAATTTTGGTATCAAAATGGACGACTTTTGTGTCGGTTGCAGAAAAAGAAAATTAATTGAATTGACACCATATGTTCTACCTATTCTGTTTACAGCCAAGATGCCAATAAAAAATTGCACTTGATAATAATTTTGTTCAAACAAAAATGGCATTCTTAAAGAGTCTTGAGCAAATTTATCAATAACTTCGTTGATAAAATTAACTCTATATCTATCTATGAGATGTCGATGAATACTAATTGAACAAAGTCCCAGAAAGTCACTATAATAAGCGCTAATCAGAATAGGAATTGAATAATGCAAATAAATCTTGTTTATAAAGTATCTGAGTAAAGACCAGGCGCTAGGGGGAGGGGGGCGAGCGCCCCCGCCTTGCCTTCCCCTCCGGACGCCCCTGGTTGTATTGTGTTAGCGCTCTTCTTGCAAAAGTGACTGCAGCTGCTATGAGATACAGTAGGCCCTGTCGAGGGCCCTGTGCTATCACTGCTCATCTGCGACATGTTCATTGCTTCTGACTGTACCTGAAGATTGGTGTATGATAGTATTGATAGTCGCTGTAATCACGAAGGTATATTCGTGTAGTCACGCTGTCGCTCTCCCACCGCGATGATTATTTTTTTCCTCCTGTTTGTAGGCGCTAGTGTTTTTATACAACGAGAGTGCTTATCTTTTTAGGCAGGTAGGTATCTAGTGGGCTGCGAATGGGTTTTGGTTGGAGTGGTTTTTCAGGCCACGTATCGTGGTTTAGGCGCGCTGCAGGAATTTCAGTGCAGGATTTCCGATGGTCTGGTCTGGTGACGTGATGGACACACATAAAGACACAGATCTTGAGGATTCACAATTAAAACATGTATAAAATCAGCAAATTCTCATAGAAGACATACTTTTCTGGCTAAGTTTCTGACTAATTCTCACGAACCGGTAAAAATTTAGGGAATCACCTTGATGAATACTCACACTGACAATTTGATTCATGTATGAAAATTCCCACAAGCCGCGTGATTTTGTCATTATGACATCGAAAAAAGTTTGCCCTAACTTTTCCAGCGACAATATAACGGAACGTAACTTTTGAAAGCATGACAACCAGCCATAAAAAAATGTTTGATGCATTAAATTGTCTTACCGAATTACACTCTAGCTTTTTTTTTGTCGAAGTAAACTTGGCATTTATAATTCGAATTTTGTTGACATTAGGTAATTCAACTCAAAAAACTGCCAGAAAAAATTACTCGTCCTACGGACTCGTAAATTTTTTAGAGGCAGTTTTTTTCGTCAAATTGCCAGGCAACAAAATTATTGGTACATGTCAAGTTTACTTCGACAAAAAAAGCTCTCGTGTAATTATAAGTGAAAAAATAGTAATTTATTATACAAGGGAAAAAAGTAGTAGATTTTAGCTCCAGGTTGTGTTGTCTCCCGACGCGTAGATATTACATTATTTTGAAATCTGAAAATTATCGACGTGAAATTTTAAGTTTTTAACAGTAGGGACACCTGCGTTGTAGGCATGTTTATCATTCTTTTGAAGTAATCAAATATCTGATGTCACTTCTGTCAGTCTAATTCTGTGATTTGATTTCAAAAAATTACTAATTTAGTGGTTGTTTAGTAATATACGTAACCGCGAAGTCGAATGGAAGATAAAAGGACTTGCAGTTCTTTCTCGGAGACGGTATTATT